ACGCTTTAAAAAGCATGGTGTAGTTATCAATTCTTTGAAGCGTATATTCGGAGCCTCAACTATAGAATTTCTGGGACATCATATTGATTCCCAAGTAATTAGACCTCTTGAAGAAAAAGTCGAAGCTATAGTCAAATTCCCTGAGCCCAAGTCCATAAAGACATTACGCCAGTTCTTGGGAATGTGCAATTTTTACCGACGTTTTCTCCCTAGTTGCGCGGCCATCTTGCAACCTTTGACAGATTTACTGAAGATTGATAAAACCTTAACTCAGAACAAAAAAGAGAATATCTTCACGTTAACGCCTGAGGCCAGAGATGCTTTCGAACAAGCGAAATCAATGATATCCAAAGATACTATGCTACAGCATATAAACACCGACCCCACAACGCATCTCATCCTCTGCACCGACGCCTCCCAGAAAGCAGTAGAAGCGGTATTACAGCAGCGCGTGAACGACAACATTACTATTATAGCGTTTTTTTCCAAACGATTATCGCCAACCCAAGAACGTTATAGCACTTTTGGACGCAAACTCCTAGCTATGTATTTGGCTGTAAAACATTTAAACTTCCTGCTACAGGGTCGTGATTTCACTATTATGACTGATCACAAACCCCTTTGCTACTCCTTTATCACTTCGTATGATAAGCATTCTTCAAGGGAAGCCAGGCAACTAGATTACATTTCTCAATTTACTACAGACATCCAGTTTATCAAAGGCTCTTCCAACATTGTCGCTGACGCTCTATATAGAAAGGACATCAACATGATAGTACACAACCACAACATCAGTCTAGAAACTTCAGCTAAACTCTAAGTAGACGATGCAGAATTGAGAGCCTGCAAAGAGAAGTCTAACTTGAATCTTAAACCTATACCCATTCCTTTCTCAAATGCATCTACCATCTGTGACGTTTCAACAGGCAGTAACTGCCCTTTCGTGCCTCAAGCTTGACGACGCCAAGTATTTCGTCAACTGCATGACCTTTCACATCCAGGAATCCGAGCCACAACTAAATTGATTACTGAGCGTTTCATGTGGCCAAAGATTAACTCAGATATAAAACGATGGACTCGAAGCTGCCTACAATGTCAACGCAGCGAAATTCAGAAACACACAATCAGTTCTGTTGGGAAGTTACCTTTGCCGGAGAAACGTTTCCAACACATCCATCTAGATATAGTCGGTCCCTTGCCGCTATCAAAAACATTCACACACATCCTCATCGCGGTAGACGGATTCACAAGATGGGCTATAGCGTGTCCCATTGCCGACACTTCTTCAGAGACAGTAGCCGTCGCATTCCTTGACCGTTGGATATCAAATTATGGAGTACCATCCATCGTCACTACAGATCGTGGTCCCCAGTTCCAGTCTATCTTATTTCAGGAATTCACAAAACTTCTGGGGATGAACCATATTAAAACTACAGCTTATCATCCAGTGGTTAATGGTCTGGTCGAAAGATTTCACCACCAATTGAAAAACGCACTGATGGCACAAAATGATACAACAAAATGGAGTTGCGCACTACCACTTGTACTCCTGGGAATTCGTTTGACCATCAAGGAAGATTTAGGATGCACTTCAGCTGAACTAGTTTACGGTGTTACATTAACGTTACCGGGTCAGTTGGTCGATCAAGAATCAACAATGTCAAATGATTCGAATGGTTTCGCAAGCCGACTATTACAAACGATGCAACGCATTAAAGCGATACCTCCGCCCAAACATAACAACCGCGTACAACTTGATAAACATCTAGAGACCTGCAAATTCGTTTTTGTTCGAGTCGACGCAGCTAAAAAGCCACTGAAACAACCGTACGAAGGACCTTACCAAGTAGTTAAAAGAACAAACAAACACTTCATCATCAATAAAAATGGAAAGAAGAAGACTATCTCCATAGATGGAATAAAGCCGGCTTTCTACGAAGTTCAACAAGACAAAGAAGATAGCACCACATTTATTCAACCCCTCTCACTAACCACTACGACACTAGAGGATGATGAAAAATCGAGTAGCAAACCTACTTGTTTAACTCGTTCGGGCAGAACTGTAAAAAAACCTAAACTTTACGTACACTTAGCCGAATAAAAAAATAATATTCAAAACAAACAATTATCGATGTTCTACATTTTTAGGTTCACACAATTCTTTTTTTTTCAACAAAATCTATGACAACTTTTTTTCACGTTGTATATAATCAATCTTCTTTTTTCCACCATTACTCGTTTTGTCGGTTTTTTTTAGAAAAAAAAGTTTTTTAGCACATTAATAAACGCGTAAACTCTATTTAATTATTTATTCATTATATACAAAGATAAACACTTCATTTTTTTGTGGGTTTAATAACAGTTTTGCACATTATTAGCATTGTTAGCAAACCAAGACATTAAATGGCTATATTTTCACCCATTTTTGTTGTTGTTATGCTATGCTACATAAACGTCATATTCTTTTATTCACACAATAACACACTGTATATTACTAACACGCATGTCATACCCATCTCCACAAAAATTTTTTTTGGTTATTAATGTAAATATTTTTTTTGCATACATGTATATATCATATTCTTATATATTTTTGTCAATATAACCAGTGTTACCTCCGGACACTCTGGGGGGGAGCCATGTGGAGATACGCCTGACAAGCTTATTTTGTAAATAGTTTTTTTAATGTATTTGTATGTATTCTGTCAATTTCCCACTGCATGTACATTTATCATTAAATGATTGTACCTGTTGTTTTAATAAAATGACCTCGAACACTTTTTCCGTTATGATACTAACATAGCGTGACACTATTGTGGTTGTTCTCAAATACACTACTACACACATACCTCTCGTTCTACATTCACTCATGTTTGCGTTAACCAAAGTTTAAATCAAACACCATCTATCCTTACAGACTGTAATTAGAATAAACCATATGTTGCGCTGGATCATATCATTGGGGAATCCATCAAACTTACTGGAATTATTAACCATCTATAATTGTGGATGTTTAATACCAGATCAATTTAGAACACGCACTCTCCTGGTGAACTAAGTAACGTTCCTTATTTCTATTGTGTTTATAACATTGAACTTATATATATATATATATATATATATATATATATATATATATATATACTAATATTTGTTATTAATAACTCTGTTATTATCTTTTGGGTCATTATATTGTTTGGTCCACCTCAAGGGCACAACCTGAATACATTGAGGCAAAAAAGCAAGTGAAGAGGAGAATTAGGGCCGACAGGCAGAAATCCATGCAAGACCAAGCAACGACAGTAGAGAAACCTGAAAAATAGGCAGAAATTACTCAATGGGGAAACTAGCAGAGAAATATAGTAAATCAAAGAGACCCGCCAAGGACAATGAAGGCAACTCTTTCACTGGGATTCAAGAACACTGAGGAGGATTAGCAGAAAATTTTGAAGACCAATTTCATCATTCTGAAGGAGCACACACGTATCAACTAATGAATTGTCGATAGCTGTATTGAGTTAAGCTTCCGATCTGGAGAATACGAGATAAGGATAACGTAGAATTCCATGACCGAAGATTCAGCGAGTCAAATTGTGACTGGGCCAGCAGCGTTAAGTGGCTTTCTTTTTGTTGAATAATATCTGGTTATTAATGTAACAAACATTAGGTTTTATTTGATAATTTATATAATTTAACTCATGACAATTTGAAGATCATTTGCTTCGCACTTTAACGATACCTTAGACCGTGAGAATTAAGTTTTTTCACGTCCTTCACTTCACTGAACTTCTAAATATTATCGTTGAATATGATCAGTGTGAATCAACTCGAAATGTACAGAAATTCCAGTTCAGTAAAACTTGTGCTCACTTCAAAACTATAAGCTACTCACTATAAAGAAAATGAATGTCACTTTTGGAGGAATTTTATGGTGTACTGTGAGATATTGGTAAAACATTGTGAAGTAGTTGATAATCGCTTGTTTAATGGGAACTTGTCACCTTCTACACTCATTTTACAATTCAACTCAAGGTCCGCTCATAAGATACTTACAGTCTAAGGAAAATGGGTAGTCTAAACTTGCAGGTCTTGGTTACTCTCTACCTAAAATCTTTTGTTGTTTGTTTACGTCAGTTAAGATGATAGGTAATTAAGTTTGCATTTTCAAATCTGTGTATGAGTTCGAGAGTTAGTGTTGGCTGCTCACTGAACTGATCATGACATGATTAGTTGATGAAAAGTGCTATGTCCGAATTTGCTAAATCTGGGATGCTTGATGTACGAATAATTGCTAGATTTACGACTATAACCCAAACAAGTGAAAAGACCAAATCAATTTTACCACCAAATAGAAATTTATTGAATTTAATCATAAAACTAAAAACATATTGATTATTACCATTACCATATAAACAAATTCACTTCAATGTTTAGAAGTCCCTCAGTACAATAACAGAGCAGCAACTGCAAATTAAGCTTCAGTAGAATAAATACAAATAGAAACCACGTAAAAACTGAGTAATATTTACAATAAACATTCATTCATCTCTTATGACAGAAAAATGTTTCCGTCCAGTTATATTCTTGTGTAAATTAATCTTATTTGTCACCAATCAATAAGGTGTATTTGAAACACCATGCTTAGCAATACCTTCAGTATTTTGATGCCTCATTATTATTAGTTTTGGTTTATTTCTAGATTTCTCTGTAGCATAAATCAAATAAATGTTACTGAGTATTTCAATTGATTTCAGTAGAATGCAGTGAAATCTCTCATTTTTTACAAAACACACTTCATATTGAATGAACAAATCTATGATTAATGTGATCTCATCAAGTACAACTAATAGAAGGTTTCATGATAACCATTGTTTTTAGATCATATTTTATTCTTTCAAAGTGTACAACAAAATACAGTTTTATTATCATTCACATTTCTAATAGTAATATTGAACAGTTATAACACAGAGGTATAGATATTAGTGAATGTTGAAGTTACCTTACGTCAAATAATTTTCACCATTGTTAATTTCTTTAAGTGATTTTAAACGTGACAATAAATGTTGTGGTATTAAACGTTGTCGATTATGACTTATAAATGGAGTATATTTTGTGCTTGTAATCGTTTCATGATTAGATTTATTTGTATCATCTAACTTTGAGGTTATATTTATATGTGACTGTTTTAAATTGGAACATTTTGTTCTATCCGATATAGTACTGAATTGAAGCCCTAAATTAGCGGTCGGTAAATGTGTACGGTATGATTTTTGATGACCATTGATATTGTTGGATATTCCATTGGATAGAAATTTTGTTCGAATAACGTTATTTACCTAATGATCAAATAAATGACAAGATTACAAGATTATGTATTAAATAGATCATTAACAAACACTTAGATGTTTTAATTAAAAATAAAATGGGGGGGGTATGTTTTGGAATATCATTGTTACTTGAATCAAATGAACTACTAAATTAATGTATAATAGTTAACATTAACATTTGGTCATATTTTATATCATTGAAATTTTATTTTGACGAAATCATTAACTTAAGCTGTGCATTCATATTCACAGTTGTATGATAAAATATGTGTCTACAGAAATATAGGGAAGATGGCATCATAAAGTGATCGGAGACTTCAATTATACAATGGAATAACGAATAACCATGGTGTTACAGAAGAATAGAAAGATGAAAACCACTGATGGATCGAAATTATGATAGGTTGTTGTCCACTTGACAGACAGTGAGGTAAACAAAACACATAATGGTCATAATAATAACTGAATAATAATCATGAATATTTGTTCACCACGAAAAGCTACCACTTTCTGAAAGCATCTTAGAACATTACCTGATGTGGCTTTGAAAGGGGTATGCAAAACAATTACCAGTTTAACAAAGAAGCATCTTATCGACTCTGGCACACAGTCCCAAGGAAGTCGTTCTTTAAAATAATCTACACAACGAAAGAAACCGGATCGATGGAGACAGAACTGTGCGTGTACAAACGATACGTTCAACATCTAATCATTCCTTGACCCAACTTCACATTTATAGTATATTTTGGCTTTCTTTTTAGTTAATGTATTTTTATTTTAAACAGTAATCACTTATTATTATCCTTTTAGCAATTTTTCATGATTATTATTCAGTTGTTATTATGGCCATTATGTTTTTTATTTTCCTTAATGTCTGTCAAGTGGACAATAACCTATCATAATTTTGACCCGTTAATTATTTAGATCCTTCTATTCTCCTCTAGCACCATGGTTATTTATAATCTCATTGGATAACTGTTGTGTCGAACCACTTTATGATGCCACCTTTCCTATCATTCCATAGACACATATTTACCATGCAAATATTAATATGAATATACAGCTTAAGTAAATGATTTCGTCAGAAAACATCTATCTTTTCGCTGCGTTCTCTATATATTTAAACAAGATTTCGTGAATCAATAACCTACCAAACAAATATGTGATAATTATCAGTATAGGGTTGTGGAGATAACTGATTTTTGTTTGAGATCATGAATCGATCATTGTTAGATTACTATACTAAGACGAAACGGCCGTCCAGTGTTTCCAGGTTTTCAATGGTGGTCTAAAATTCGTCGAGTCATGATCTCAATCAACATATGTGATAAATATGAATTTGATCAAGCGATTGTACGTAACAACGACACAGTTACTATTGTATGGTTAGCGAAACAACATTGTACTTTAACACGGTAGAGAAAAAGCTTAATCATAATCCCAGTAGATTCTGACCGTCAGATATGTTCTTTTGAAATTTAAAATTAGCCTAATAAGGGATAATTTCGTGATATATCAAAATAATCAGGATTATCCAAACACCCCATTAGAGTGAATCAGGATAAAGAGTTATTACATGATGGATCTCTAACTTAAGATTGCATCGATTCACTGTTTGTACCATTCCGGCTTAATTTATCTAGATTGAGATTATTAGCGCAACAACATAATTAAGTTCATTATATCGAATACGGTCTACATTTACACAATTTACATCAAATAAAAGTCAGACTAACTCATGAAGTTAATGATTTGTTCTTATTGTAATTATTACTTAAATTCACTCACTTGACTATCGCTTGTGCTTAATTGAATCCTTGAATTCTTCGAAACCTCTATGGCAGTGTCTAATACATTAGATGATGTTGACTCATATTTTGCAGATGACTTCCCCAAATCACTGTGCTGATCATGAATTCCATTGAGATTTGCTTGCATACTGTCATTTCGTAAATGACTTGGATGATACAACTGTGTCAAACTAGTATTATGATGATTATCAATATTCGTATGCCGTTGATTATTAGTATGGAAACCATTAGATGAAACACAACAAGGGGATATTGATTCATCTATCGAAGTACTTTTAGATGTTCTACGTAGCCTATAGTCTTGAAATAAATTATCTAATTCACTAGATGATTGTAATCGAATAACTGATGATGAACCAGTATTTGAACAAATGAAATATGATTTGGAATTAAATTTAGTGGAATTGATTGTATTACTAGTAGAGTTGGTAGTTGTTGTAGTAGTCGTAGTATTTGTGATGTTAATGATTGGTGGATTTCTTATGATACTTCCAGTTAATAAAGGTGCAGGTAATAAAGGAGTTGAAGCAAATCGTCGATTTTGCATATCCAACTGGAAAATATGATTAAGACGATTCATCACAAAAGACTGCAATATAGAATACTCAGGATTTGGAGTTAAACATTAACACCGCTGGATACCGGTCGACTCAGTTGTCTAGAGGTTGATCGTTCGCACACGTGACCGAAAGTCCTAGGTTCCAGTGCTGAACGCGAGATTATGGATGCGCACTGCTGAGGAATTCTATACTAAAGCGAAACGGTTATCCAGTGATTCCAGGTTTTCACTGGTGGTCTAGCTTAAATCGACACATGAATTCAACTACTAATTATTATTATTATTCAAAAGTGGTAAAGTTCAAAGTTCATTGAATGAATAAACCAACATCCATAAATAGTAGAAGAATCAGAGTCTCTATGTACATAGGTAGCACATTCGGTATCATTTTCCCTAGAGTTTCTAGAGTTCACCTGAACTATAAAACGGTACAATTGGGCTAATGCATCTAACAATATACATATTTTTATAACTTCGGTTCAAGTGATTGTTTCGTATACAACGAAGTAATTTATTTAGCACTCATCTTGTTTTATTGCCTAGGTCTCGAAATCTAGAATGAGATCGCTTTGTGTGGTCATGGATATGCAACACAAAGGAGTCCTATACTGGAACGAAACAGTTAGCCAGTGATTACTAGTTTGCTGCTTGTCTCAAGAAAGCCAGTTTGTGATATTTAATTTCAAATCCAACATCCTACTTATCATTCTTTAATATCAATCACAACATGATTTCTGTTAACACACCTAAATGCAGTAGAGGCACATAGTCTTTACTAGGCTATTATGCTTAGTTGATAATCATGAATAAAATACTCTAACTTATGGTGTGATTAAAAACCAGTAACCTTTAAATTGACCACCTTATTTCATTTGTTATCATCAGAAAAGAGTTTTGTAGAAATTGCAGTAATTTAATAGTTGAATCCATGGGTAAACTGAAGCTAGATCAACACGGCAAACATGGGAGCACCGGACGGCCTTTATTTCATAATATCGGGCCCCTCAGTAGTGCGCATCTACGATCCTGCATGCTCGATTCGAGCCCAGGACCCTGTTTCTCTGTATAAATACTTAACCTCTAAATCACTGAGCCGGGCGGCACCCAATGGTGTTAATGTTTAACTTCAACCAATCCTCGAAATCGAGCCACCGCCCATCATTGTCTTCAGTGAGTTACTATCTCACAACGGACTCGGTTGAACTCATACTCGGACAAAATGGCTGCCCGATGCTTCCAGGTTTTCCATGGTAGTCTAGCTTTAATAAACTCATGAATTCAATTATTTGTTACCGTTCAATATTTTTTTCACTAAGTTGAACAGTTATTTATTTTCGTTATGTCAGATGAACTTTTTCCATTATTTTTCATGAAAGATTGTTCAGTTGTTTATAACTCATTTTATGAATTATATATCATATCAGAATGATTTTTGTGGATAATATAGTAATTTTAATAATTTAGATCATGAGTCAACTGAAACTAGACCACCCTGGAAAACCTGGAAGCACTGAATAGCCATTTCATCCTACTGTTAGACTCCTCAACAGTGCACATCCACGATCCATGGATCTAGCTTCAATTGACTCCTGATCTCAACTATCAAAATTATATTTTAATCAAAATTGTATAATCTACATACAATCTACATAGATATATACCTCATTAATTTTATTCTCAGATATACTTTTATAACTTCGCTCTTCATTTAAATTAGTTGTTGTTTGAATTTGACATGGTGTCAAATGTCCACTGCTTAATGAACTACTATTATTCAATGTATTTGAATGATTTAATAAATTATTTGTTGATTTACTAAAATTATATTTATGATTCTTATTCATGGTAACAAACTTCGATTTATTCTGTTCAATTGTATCATTTGCATTCAACCATTTATGTGATGATGACATTGGTGTTGTTGATGATGATAATGATGATTTTGATTTAGTCGGTGTAGGATTTTGACATTTTAACCAGTCTGATGATGTTGATGATGACGTTGATGTTATCACTGTTGACGAAGATGGATGATTAGTTTTGAGTAAATGATTCTAAATAACACATAGAAGGAAATGTACAAAAAATTAGAATAGTAGCTTCATGGTTTACACCAGAAACTGATCTTAATTAGCAAATCATCACAAACCAGAAATTAATAGAGATCTATTTCGTCTCATAACAGAACTTTTCGGATGTATGCATCCACAATCTGGTGTGTGATATGGAAAGTAAATGTGACTAGTCACAAAATGTAAATATAATAGGACACAAGTTACTGACTGAATGTGTAATTTCCTTTTTTCTTACTGATTTAGACTCTGAGCTCACTGAGTGTAGACGGCTTGTAATTGCGTGGGGTAAAGTAATGTCTAGAGTTACTGTGGTCCTCTGTTCTTAATCGTAAATTATGTATCTCATATGATGTAATCCACTTTATTCACACAATTTCGATCGTGCATCCAATCAAGAGGTTTTATCAACGCGATCATATAGGCGAACCTTATCATCATATAATTTTATTAGCGTAGTATACCGCTAAGAATGAAAAATATGTTAAATCATCCGTTACAAAACAACCCTACCAGAAATATAACCTAAGACACTAATCTTTAACTACAAGTTACATACCTGAATTAGAACTTATTAATCTTCACTCCACTAATCTCTCAGCCAAACTAAAATCGTATAACCACTAATGACAAACTCTGGGATAAATTTCTGAAGTTGTAGTGTGCAGTCATGACTGTTAGAAATACACCATATCAGGATGGAATAAGTTGTTCACTTACAAGACCACTGATCAGTGTACTTTAGCCTGTATGGATCATTTGATTTTTCATTATTGTTTGGAAGTATACACGTTGATCAGAAAATCTGATATTCGACCGTAGGTTAGTTCGTGCCTATGAAATACTGAGAAGTTGCAGACAGGGAGAAAACAGTTATTCAGTGCTCTCTAGTTTTCAAGGTTCTTCAGAAGATATCGACCGGCATCGAAGATCATTTTCAAATGAATTCTCACCTTAGCAAATATCTCAAGTATAAGATAAAAATCCAAAATCTTTTTTTAATAAATAAGATAATTCTTCTATACTTACCAGTCCATTATTGATCGACATCAATGTTTTACCAGAGGAATTCTCAAATTGTTGATTAGATCTATCTAATAAAGTTTCCGGTTTTTTCATTTCAGCCAATGACTTATTCATTGTACAGTTGATGTTTACTTATGAGAATTGATAATAAGGAAAAAGGAATATAAAAATAATTTATTTCCAAAAAGCAAAACATTATTCACTACTGATTGATATTAGTTGGAGTCATATCAAATGATAACGAGCAATGAATAGATAATTCATCAATAGTGAATAACCATGCCACAGCTACGTGTTAAACGCAGAAACTTAATTTCTAACTATGACTACTTAATCAACAGACAAATGGTTTGGCACGTAATAGTACACATTTTTGACTTGAATCAAATTTTCCATTATCATTGTGGATATTTTCATCAGTGCCTACTTGAAATTATAAAAGGTGAATAGAGCAATAATGAGATGTCTACAATGTAAATAACCAATATGTTCAGACAGTATGACACTATCAGACGGTTATATCTAGGATAACGGTGAATCATATCTGTCAATAGATTTTATCCGCATAAATCGGGCCTTTACAAGAAATTATTAATACAATAAGTAATAGCTATGAACATAAAAGAGAACACGTTAAATTACATTGTTCATTTGAATTACAGTTCAGTGTTGAATTGCTTACTGACTGTTGTTGATATTGATAACTGTCATAGGATTGATTTAATGATTCATTAGGTTGTATCAGATTAGTATTCAACTGATCGAATTTATTTTTAATTATGGATGTTGACAATAATGAGGATGATGATGAGGATGATGGTAAATTAAAAGAAGAAAATGATTTTCTAAATGAATTGTTGTTATTAATTTTACCAATTGAACTGGATCCATTCAACTTCCATGTGTCATTTGTACAATTAGTACTATTCGTATCATTATTCATTGTCTGTGCATCCAATTGATCATTAAATGATGTATTAGTTCCAGATGTAAAACTATTATGAATGGATCCATTTAGTTTCTGTAAAATAGAACAAACAAATAATCAAGGAATAAGTTGATCATCAAAACTGAATCTGTCAGTATGCAATTTTGTGTTAAAAGTAAGACAAAACATTTCAAATCTAGCTGAAAATGACCTCAACATTTTCAATGTTTAATAAGTTTATCACTTCCATTTATCATATTCCACCATTTTCCAGCTTCCACTGTTTTCTCAATGCATTACTGTTTGTTTGTTTTGTTTATCTTCGTTTAAATTACAATAGTTCTTTTACCAACCAAAGGACGAGTTTACTGCGCAACAGTTTGTTCCGTCCTACTTTATGGCAGTGAAACATGGCCAGTAAGAGTAGAGGACATTCGTATTTTACTAGTATTCGATCATATGTGTCTTCAAAACATTGCTCGTATATCGTAGGACCACCTTGTAAGTAATGCAGTGGTTAGGAAACAGACTCTAGGCAAGGACGGCAAATCAATTGATGAAGTAATGAAAATTCATCAGTTGAGATGGCTTGGTCATGTGTTACATATGTCTAACCACCGACTGTTCCCACGTGAAATGTTTTATGGTGTAGGAGTAGGTTGAAAGAATGCTAAGGTTGGACAGATAAAAACATGGCATAAATCCATGAAGTCACTAAAAAGTGAACTGAGCCATGTTGGTAGGTGTAGAATACCTGGTTGTGATCCGCGAGACGATAGCGACCGATGGTTAGAGGCCTTGAATGACATGGCTCAAAATCGTTTGCAATGGCTCAGGCGTATCCACTCATTGTGTTCTCGCAAAAATTAATATTCTGCATTCTTCATGTCCCTTTCTTTCTCTTCCCAAACTTATTTTACCAGATTATACTCCTTGAATAACCCCTTCAAACAGCAATCTTTCCAATTAATGTCTATGTGTTTACTACTTCTACCACATTGAGATTTGATACGGCAGATATAACACTGCTAATTTGGTATGATAACTCGAACTGATGTATGTACGTACGAAGTTCTACGTTGTTGACTAACTGAATGATTGACTATTTACCTCACATCTCACCTTTTTGTTCAGTTTCTAGTATTTTCCGAATGTTTTAATGTTTGTTATGTTTTTTTTTGTTCGTGTTTTACATACAGATTCATCCTACTTGTTCTAACCATAACCTTTAATGGAATAACTAGAAGGTATCATGCGAAAACACATGAGAATGATGATATCGATCAGGTGAATCAAAGTTTACAGTTGTAGGTTTGAGTAAACTGTCATTATGAAAAAAATGATATGAAAAACGTACTTGTTTACTGCGCAAATTACTTGGTGTATTACATCTTTCGTATATATTTCCATTACTATGAGTGAATGTTTTATTATCAGCTCCATTGACATGATAATAATCGGTTGTAGAAATACATATTCTTGATTCTTTATTAAGAATTGAAGTGTTGAGATGGTTACTAGAAGATTTTTGATCGAATGACGGCTTTGTCATGTTGGATGGTTTTACTGTTACTGAATGTGTACTGTTGACATTTTCATGTTCACATGAGGAATCATTATAATATTGTTCACTTGAAAAATGAAAAAAAAAAACCCGTTCAATTGTGTTATGTAATCGGTAAATGAATTTCGATTGATGTCAATCATATTTGATCTAAAATTATGTAAACTATTAATCATAATCCTACGGAGAATACTTCCGATCCGTCGGCCGAACATTATTAGCAACAACCTACTATGGGAGAGAACAAATCAGATCCCAGTGGAGGAAGAAATCAGAAAGAAGCGATGGAAGTGGATAGGACACACATTGATGAAAGCACCAAACTGCGTCGTGAGACAAGCACTCACATTGAATCCTCAAGGTCGAAGGAGGAGAGGAAGACCAAAGAACACGTCACGCCGAGAAATTGAGATAGACATGAGAAAAATAAACAAGAACTGGACGGAACTAGAAATGGAGGTATAGGACAGAGTGGGTTGGAGAATGCTGGTCGGCGGCCTATGCTCCATTAGGAGTAACAGGCGTAAGTAAGTAAGAATTTGTGAGAACATTAAGAGTAAATGCACCCGTGCCATTGCAAATGATTTTGAGCCATATCATTCAAGATCTCTAACCATCGGTTGCTATCGTCTCGCGGATCCCAACCAGGTAGTCTACACATATCAACATGGCTCAGTCTACTTGGCGGTGACTTTATCAAATCGTGTCATTTTATAGGGAATGGAATTATTGTTTTCGAAGACTTTCCATCATATAATAAGGTAGAGATTACTATTTTGATACAAACTACAGTCATTTTTAAATAATAAACTGGAAGAAAGTCAAATTTCATTGAAGAACAAAGTAGACATGGTGGAAAATGATTAAAGTTACGCACAATGTTCAACGTTCATAGTTTGATCATTTACTTTTGGCATTTCCGACAACTCCACTAGGAATCATATATCATTATTTATGGTGTATTTATGGGGTATTCTATAATATGAGTCATATAAGAGTGTTTTGTTTATAAATCAAAAATTAATATTTTAATTTGACCAGGAACCTTACACCAATAAGGTTGTTTATATTTCATATGAGAAAGAGCCAAGTATTAACAAGAAATCTAAGCAATCGCCTTTTATATGTGTGTGTGTTTGTATTTTCTTCATATTTGATCAGTCTCGATTGTTTTATACACATCTTGAGTGAACTACTGCTACTTCGTTAAATATTCAAAGGAATTTAGGTTATAGATAGAAGTGGAATTTATGACACGAGTTTGGTTATAATCGAAAATCAATAATAGGATTCACGTTTGTCTAGTTGAAGAGTTTAAAGTCAGATGAAACACATGTACTAGTTATCACTGTTATTCATCATTCAACTTCCTCAAACGTTTTGCTGTACAAGTTATGCTACTAAATCGAAATTCAGTAGTACAATTTACAAGACAAAACATAAAGAAATTACCCAACACGTGATAATTCTTCATTGTTCACATTCGTCATAGATACTGTATGAGAACAAGGTCTGGCCACAGATAATGAAGAGCTGGGTTTAACAGTATATGTAGCTAAATCAGAAATAAGTCTCATATTTTCAGGATTCCAAGCATTTAAATGAGAATTTTTATGACAATCTTGATCAGGAGTGGTACGATTAACCGGTTGAATGAATGATTTACGGTTAACATTCAAAGTTGAATGTGTTTGATTATTTTCTAACCGTTCTCCTTCTTCTTTCAAATGATAATTTCTCAGTTCGAAACATTTTACTTTATCCACAGCTATTTGATTTCTAATAGTCAGTTCACAATCACTTATCTCTGTTTGTGTTGTATTCGGAATCGTATTTTGTAACTGATCCATAGGTTTATTTCGATTATGTCTACGCAGTTTCTTCGAGTTAATTATCTGTGTAATTATTTAAATTATTTAATAAATTAATAAAACGTTTATTTGAATAAAGAATAAAGTAAAGTAAATGAAATTAAAGCAACAGTAATGGAGTTTATTGTGGATATTCTTAACAATTAAAATAGGCACAAATATATAATGAATCATGGACTGATGTAAATTTATTTCTATCTTTGATTCATTAACAGAAGTGAATTATGTTTGATTGTACAAGTCAATAGTGAAAGATTAACTCGCTACTTATTATTCATATGTTAAATTGCTTATAATTTATTATAAATAATATAACCGTTAAACAAACTGATGAGAATAGTGACTATCTACTCGAATTAATATTTTTTCAGTAAACAAAGTGATGAAAAATGGCTTCAAGCCTAATTGAGATAACCATCATTGAAATAAAAGTATTTCCAGCTACTGATTTCCAAAGTGGGTTAAATATGCACCTTACTTTCCAAGATTGAATATACTGTAAATTAATATATTTGAAAAAAAAATGATGAATCGGTTCAAAGAGCTTATTTTTATTAATGGACATATTTTATATTCAGACTTGAATACTATCATCTGGGTAATATAAATACACACACTTTATATTACCATCTTACATGAATATAGGAAAAAATTAACTTATTTCTATGCTCATATCCATTTCTGGTTTATCATAGATCTCCAGTAATCTGTTCATTAATCAATCATTCGTATATTGAAGTTTCAGGTCGTTCTGTAACTCATTAATTGAATGTCAGTAAATTGTACATTCAATAAACTATGCTTTTCATACAATAACACAAACTATCTTTTAATGTTATTTAAAATGTCTTCCTTTGCTTTTTAAATCTTTTTATGTTTAAATGAAATCCTATTTGGTTGTTCAACTCATCATAAACGATATAATAAACTGTAAAGATATTTCAAATAATTATTATAATAGTAGAGTGTGATTAGAATTTTTTTTTGCACTGAAATATATATTTGTAGTGGACACTACTTACAAGATTGTTTGTAAGTAGTGTGTAGCATGTGAGTGACACCATAATTGTTATAATTATCAGATGAACTGAATAACTTCAGTGCATTGAAAGTATAATGTTAACAGAACACTTAGTGATCAGACAAGAATTCAGTTCATATATTAGAACACACTGAAACATGTTGTTAGAAGACTGAAAGTACTACTGAATGTATTAAATGAACACTTTGTAATTTCTTATTGTGTTTTACATTTACTATCAATTCTGTTTAATTGATTTCTCTAGTTATTTTTACATTAAGCAACTGAAGTAAAAGGTTTACTTATATGAAACTTTCATTATGTTTCATAAAACTTTTTTTTCTATTATCTCTTTTTACCTGATATAAACGATTACGATATTCAGTGACAGTTAATTGAATATTATCATCTAATGGTGGTACCACATTATGTGTTTTACTCATGATTTCTTCTGGATTAAAAAATCTGTTCAATATTGGAGAGAAATAAAACAATAATGATAATTTTATATAATAATAATAATTATTATTATTATGTTATTTAGAGAAATAAATTGTATCTAAGGGAAAATAGAAAGTTGAAATGGATTATTTTCATCAAACTGCAAATTCAATAATAGTTATGGTATACATTAAAAACTGTATTTGTGTTGTATTCTACTGATATCAATAGATATAAGTAGTATGTCACACTAATCAAAAGTGAGATAAGGGTGGGGCAACAGAAAGTTGAGAAGATTGAATTGACGAGAACAGGTATGCAAACAGTAGGTAATTGTAATAAAAACAGGAATAAAGGACTGGTGTAGTTTATAAAAGACAATTGATGGATGATGTACAAATGAAGTACTTATTGTATAGTTTTCATATTTTAGGAAGACACTTTGTCATTTATAATTAACAATATATCGGTTGTTTACTCTTTCACTCTCATACATAAGAACTTTAGTTAAACAACTGTTAAAATGAAACTCCTGATTAAAGAGTGAAATAAGAAAATTGATACCTTGTAATGTTCACTTAATGTTGATGCCATTAGTATGTGATACAGTGACTATCACACATTTTTATCAGCGATTCGTATTTTATTTCTAATTAACTTGAACTTTACTAACTACATTCTTTCAAGAGAACTTTGTGTATTACCTCTCGAGGTTAGTTACTGTTAATCACATGAAGGTTATTTAATAAGTCAGTTTGTGAAATAGTTTATGAATTTACCTACATGAACAACTTTTCTACCCTGATGCTAATGGTCAAAATGTACACTAAAGACTAACTTCTATGTGGATCAGCAGACATCACATATTGTATATGTAAAATATGAAAACAGTACATCAAATAAACCATTTGCCGATCTTCCTTGAATTGTTCTTTACAAATGCCATCGTTCTTTTACTTCGATTGCTTGTTGCTTTACTTCCTTTATTCTTCGACTTCTTTTCCTCTACGTAAGAATTCTACATTCCATTACAGATACATACTACTTATATCTATCGGTACAAGAAATACACGCCACACTTTGAGCATAGTGATATTAAAATGAACTGTGTACATAAATAGTCCAAATGAACAAATATACTACTAGTAGCACATCATGAGTTACTGTAAACATTATAATATATTTAGTAAAAGCTTAACAGTGGATTTCGAGACTCGTCAGATAAATGCACCTTAGCCTATGAGTTGATATACACTATATAAGATTCAACAAAGGAAAAACAAAAAGGTAGCAATCAATAGCAGACGAACAAGAGCATAAAAAGCCAAATCACAAGCTGAATACACTATCATCAACCACCTACTGTGGGAGAGAATAAAAAAGATTCCAGCGGAGGAAGAAATCAAGAAGAAGCGATGGAAGTGGATAGGACACTCATTGAGGATAGCAACAAACTGCGTCACAAGTCAAGCCCTCACATGAAATCCCCAAGGCCAAAGGAAAAGAGAAAGACCAAAAAACACATAACCGCTGAGAAATGCAGACAAATATGAGAAGAACGAACAACAATTGAATAGAATTAGAAAGGATGGCCCAGGATAGAGTGGATTGAAGAATGCTGGTCGATAGCCTTTGCACCATTAGCAGTAACAGACGTAAGCAAGTAATTAAGTAACTATGAATTGATACTCTTTTTAAGATTTAATAGACGTTTATCTCACTGATAAAGCTGAACGATTATTCACTAAGCTACTGAGTTCAGATTGTTACTAACCTGTGTAAAATCTATGTATTACATATATATGGATTTGTATTTTTCTATTGAACAAGTCAATCCACAAAGGGTACATATAAACGTGACTAATTAATTCTAGTCCTTAATATTAACAACCAGAACAATACAAATTAAATATATATTACATTATCATTATTATTATTATTATTATTATTATCATAATACATTAAAGAATAATTAATATTTTCATTGAATTACTTTCGAACATATGGATGTCTAAGAGCAGTTAAAGCATCAATCCGTTTATGTGGATTAAAATTAATCATTTGATTAAGTAAATCCATTACAGTTTTATTAGCATTTTTTAATATTTGATCTAATGGACGACGTCTAAAATTGAAAAGTGAATAATAAAAAGTTTCTAAAAAATAGAAATATCAATTATTGAATCCATTGAACATGTGAAAACTATACTATTGTTTAAATTTAAGAACATTTAAACTTCATCTCATTACATAAGCAAGTGTTTTATCACGACTTAGTAACTAAGTTAATAATGCCATGACGTTTACAGCGAACGATACTGAGTTTGAGTCCTAGAGTGAACATCAAATCTGTGATACAGGTACATTCAGCTGATGAGTGCCAAATAGGATGAAACATGAGTTCTGGATTCCACTGCTAGCCACTATTCATCTTTGCTTATAATGCTTGTAACTTAAAGCAATATCGAAGCAATTCGCACTGAATGCATATATGCAAACATGAGACTAATCAATTGCAGTCCTAAATAACAATGGGAAGATACAAGTAAAACAACACCAAGTGAATTTAAACTTCACCCCATTGTACCAGCATATGACTATTAGGACTCAGTAGTTAAATGGATGATACAATGACATTTGAAGCAAATGGCACTGGTTTCAAATCCTAGGGTGATCATCAAATCTGGGATGCAGGTACATTCAGTTGACAAGTTCCGAACAGGACAAACACGCACGCCATGGATTCCACTGCTAGCTACCATCTATCTTTCCTTATAATGCTTGTGACTTTAGACAGTGTTGAGGCAATACACCCAGGATGCATCTATGTCAATAAGAGACTGATCAGTTGCAGTCCTCAATAACAATGAGAAGATACAAGTAAGCTATACCAAGTGAATTTATTCTACTGTGAATTATTTTCTTAAAAAATTATTTTTTCATTATACATTTGTTAAATATTCAATTTATGGTATTTTGATTCTGTTGTTGTTGGAAGTTTTCATTTCAATTATAATGTATTAGTTTACATGTTATGTTGTGTTGTTGTTTTGGTCGACCACTGTTTTACATACGCCCTATATGAATGCTAAAACTAGTCATTTGGATAAGAAAACCGAGAAGGAACTGAGAAGGAATTCTTTACTGGCTAATTGAATGAAGAATATACACACAACGTATTCGTCAATATACAGATAAATGTCATTCAAAATAGTTAAACAACAGATTTAACTATCAGTTTATATCTACTTATATAGAAAGTAAAGCTAAATCTTGACCTGTTGCATGATCTTATCAGCTTTGTTCTTTTATCATTTAGCTTATGTAAGATTATTTCATTGTATCAGATTTTCTTTATGAAATATAAGTCTGTGCTTTTGGGCTCAACTATAGAGATTAACGTTGATGGTATATCAATACATTTTGTACATCTTAAACTATCATTGCATAATTATGAACATATTACTAGGTTTTATACTAATTGAGACCTAGTTATATGCGAGTTTCTAAGTCGAGAGAAAAGCAGAAGATAACCGGTCAAACACGAATCAATCATTGCAAAGGGAAGTTTTACACTTGTGAAATAATTAAATATCTTAGTTCAACTTCATGTAGATTGATAGATAGGAAATGGTAGCAATGTGAAGAGGATTCAACGATACGGTTACATTCATAACGACGATAATTACGGATTCAGATAGAATTAAATTTTTAAAATACAATTGGTCGATAATTCATGTTAAACTGAACAAACGCATTGAGCCTACTGATTGATAAATGTTACTTTGTAAACTTACTCATGTTAAACGATGGTTTAGTAATAAAAACAATGAAAATCAATCACTGATTTCATATTACTTTTTAATAACACATTCCCACACTGTTTCATTATATTACCAATAGATGTGTTGTAAAGACATGTGAATGATCTTTTTTTTCTGGAATGGAGAATTCAGGATAAAGTGGGTAGGAGAATCATGATCAGGGGTTGATGATCCATGAAGAGTAACATGAGTAAGTCAGTAAGTAAGTAAATAATTAACAGACGTGTAAAAGTTGGTAGATTTAAGCTTTAAGTACATAAATCATAATTTATTCATCGTTTTATTCACTCATTAATATAACTCAATTGATATTAGTTACTACTTTGAAAATATATTACTTACTTAATATGGGTTTTTTCTAATATTGAAATACTATATGGACTTCTAATACTTTCCATGTCTATAAAAAATGATAAGAGTTTGTGAATAGTTATTGAATTTGAATGAATTTGTAACTGGATAAATTAAATATGAATTCCTTAGTTGAGATCATGAACCGACTGATGTTAGACCACCATTTAAAACCTGGAAGCACTAGATGGCCATTTCGTCCTATTGTGAAACTCCTCAACAGTGCGCATTCACGATCCCATTGGCAGGATTTGAACCCAAAACCTTCAATCTCGCACGCGATCACTAAACTGCTCGTCCATTGAGCCGGCATCTCGCTCGTGGGATCGTTGATGCGTGTTACTGAGAAGTCCCAACAATAGGACGAAACGGAAGTCCAGTGTTTCCAGGTTTTTAATGGCAGTCTAACATCAATCAGTCCATGATCTCAATCAAAAAGTTAATAATTTCCATAACCCTATGAATTCGTTCGTTTGATCATCTAATTATAATAAATAATTCAATTCAACATTTAATATAAAGAATAATCCAGACAATTAAATTAATAAGAACCATTTTAGTACCATTCACATGGCCTTATTCAGATATATATATGCTTTGTAATGACTTTCTGAATCTGCAATGTGAGTGGAAAGTTAGCGAAATAACTAGAAAGCTTTAAATGAAGTAAAAGAACCATTAAGTATATACATTGTTTCTTTTAACTCAAACAACAGTTTCTATCGCGATTTATCTAACGGTTGATCTTCAAATGATGTTTAAAAATAGTCAAATGTTTTTTTTCTATAATTCCCTAGGCTATAAAGTCTTTGACTTAACACTCAAATCCTCTTTTTAAGGTTTAGATGAATGAGTTAAGATTGGTATACTGTTTACAAAGTTTTAATTTGTGAGACTATGATTCGATGAAGAATAAGATACGATATTACTACTACTACTGCTACTACTACTGCTACAACCACTACTGCTACCACTACTGCTACAACCACTACTACTACTACTACTACTACTACTACTATTACTGCTACCACTACTACAATTACTACTACTACTACTATTACTACTACTACTACTATTACTACTACTACTATATTCCATACAATTTTACCACAGTTTATCCAATATTTAAAAGAATCTGATTTCTTAACAGGTTGATTTATAGCTATTCGTTTTGACTATAATTGACCTTGAACTGATTGGTAACTAGTTAGTTTATAAAAGTAACTAATACTACTAAACTATATTGACTTAATAATTCACTATTTAACTAACATATAACCTATTAGTTTTAGTACAAATTACTTATAAAACAAAAATAAAATAAAATAAATCCAATTTCCATGGAATATTAGCTAATTTTGTTTTTTGTTTTTTGTTTTTTTTGTTTTTTTTTCAGCTGATCTAATGAACTGATTTCATACTGTGTAATCTAAACTGTTCCAATACTTATTGGATTGAGTTCAATTTTCAAGTTCAACACGATAGGATAGTTGTATTATTTATCATTAAAACATTGATTTTAAAAATACAAAAAAAAAAAAAGAAAATAGAGAAGAGTTATTTGTTTTTGTATCTATACACAGATATTTTTATAGCCTATTCAACATTTCAGAATAATATACTAGAGATTTATTCGTTAAATAATTTGATTTGACGATAGTTACACAGCATGATCTTCTAGTTGTTGTTGTTGTGATTGTTGTTGTTGTTGTTTCTTTTTGAAATGATCATTTAATCTTAGTAGATTTTTTTTTTAATTTTAAGGTTAAGCTTTTATGATAAGAAAGTTAATAATACATTATTGTAATATATAAGAATATAATAAATGGGGATAACTATCTCTTAGTAAAATTTGAGAACACATATAGTAAATACTTAATCAATTATCTTAGATTTCATTATTCTTTTATTATTTCCATACTAATCATTCTTTGTTCTCATATACTTCTTTTTGATCTTCTTAACCTACTACCGTTAGGTATTTCACTTTTATTTGGTGAGATATACTACTTATATTTGTTAATATCAGTAGTATATATCGAGCGATTTTCTAGAATTTTCTATGGATATCAAAAATTGATAATTTATCTTATTATAATTCAAAATGATAACGTTGTGTCTCATTGATCATTTGATTATGGTAGATGGTATGTCTAAACATTAATGATTAGTTTTAACTGATCAAAATGTTTTATACAATCAGATTCTATACTCATTTGGTATTGTTTACTTGGTTATGACTGAAATTATTCAGTCTTTTATTGGATATGTGAATCCTGTTCAAATGGCCTCTATATTGCCTTAATTCACAAGCTGGTAGTGGAATCTAGGACGCAAATGTAGTCCTATTTGAACTCGTTAATTAGATGCATCTGAATCATAGAGTAGATGTGTTACTCCGAGACTCGAACACAGTACCGTTCATTACAAATGCTAATGCTTTATCCACTTATCTACTGAGTGTTGGTAGTCGATGATGTTTAGAAGGAACAGTACTTGGTTTGAGTCTTAGATTTTTAGGTACATGTAGATGATGAGTTCTAAATAGAATGAAAAGTGAGTCCTGAATTCCATTGTTAGCCACTATCAATATTTGCTTATAATGAGATTTTTTTCATTTAAAAAATAGAAGTTATTCAGATCATTAAATCACATTAGGTATGATCATTCAACATTATAGAATGAATATACTTTTTTGTGTAATATTTATTTTTTGTTTCAGTTTAATTACTTAGGTAGTAAAACATTTAATTCATACACTAATCTTCATACCATATCATTGTTCATCTGAATCAACATAGTGTACCCATAACTAGGAGACGAGTATACTACTTAGCAGTTCGTTCTGTTCTACTTTCCGGCTGCGAAATGTGGTCATTAAGAGTAGATGATACTCATAAGCTACTAGTATTTGACCACAGATGTTTTAGAAATATTGCTCTCATCTGATGGGATCACCGGATAAGTAATAGCGAGGTTAGACATAGGGTATAAGGTAAATCAATTGTTAAGGTTATGAATCTTCATCGACTGAGATGGTTGGGCCACATGTTTCGTATGCCTAAACACCGATTACAACGACGCGCAATGCTGACTAGTGTTGGAGGCGGTTCAAAGAATGTTAGGGGCGGCCAAATCAAAATGTGTCATCAGTCCTTGAAGTCACTAACTTCTAGTCTTAGCCATGTTGGTAGATGCAGAATACTTGGTTGGACTCCACGTGACTATTGTAACCAATGGTCGGAGACTCTGTGTGACATGGCTCAGAATCTATCGCACTGGTGTAGGTGTATAGACTCTTTGTCTTCCCTTAAACTATAAGAATAAAATCGCTTCATATCTTTCCTTCTACAAATTAATTCTTTCTTTCTGTACTATATCCTTACATAAAATCTTTCCTTTATATATTACACCATTTAGTTATCTGCTTCTATGAATCCGATGTTCGTCGTGCTGTGTTAATGAGGTGTGGCAACTTGGACCGATGGATGTATGTGCCTGGTCCTACGTTGTAACTGACTGAATGAGTGTACCCGTAACCACATAACAAAGAGAATCCAAATCCTAACATTTGATCAACCTAGTAATATTTATTTAGATTAAAAATAGATTTTCGCATAATCCTAGACATTAATATTACTTGAAATATAATAATAACGCAATTGATGTGACCTGGTGTAATACAGCTTGCTATATAACATCAGTGCATAATTCCCTCGTGAAAAAATCCAAATTTTTGGAGGTCTTTGTATGTTTTACACTTGTCCGTATACCCTATTAATCTTGAATAATCATACATCTCTGTAACAGAAGTAACGGTAGACTTTTAATGTTATAATTGCAGCTAAAAATGTAATTATACATTTCTTTTCACATTTGTATTTATAATACTTGGGAAACACTTGTTGTTTGCAATCATGTGATCTTCTTTGAGCAACTCAACTTCCTCAGTGAACTTAATTATAATGTTTTCATTGGAATTAGTCTACTATGTTCTCTGGGTGAGTTAGCAATCTGGAACTCTAACAGATCCTCTCTGATAGTAAAGATTTTCCTTAGGTTTCATCAAAATTCAACGGCACATTCAGTTGTTAGTGCACTTCAATCCGTGTGAATTGTGAGATAGTTATCCACCGGAAACAATGGATGAGAGTCGTCCAATATCGTGGATTGATTAGTGAAAGACTTTAACACTAATGGATACCGGCTAAGTGGTATAGAGTATAAGCGTTCGCGCGTGAGACTGAAAGACCTGAGTTCAATCTCCGATTGTGGAGTCGAAGATATGAGCTGCTGGACAGTTCCACACTGGAATAAAATAGTGTTTCGGTGCTTCCAGGTTTTCACTGGTGATTTTTCCAAGAGCATTTTGGGGTTTAAACACTAACAAGAATCCAATTCACTAAAAACCAAGGAGTATGGAACAACTGTTTCATTTACCGTTGTTATTTTTAATAAGCAGTGCACCTCATTTCAACCTCAAAGGAGACCGAAATCAGAGTCTTAACAATCACTATAAAGTTAGAAAGGTATAAACTGTTGTATGGGGACACGTCAGTGAAACATTACTTCTGAATAAGTGTAAATGTATGCGTTTACGATTACTGTTTATATTAAACAACATAAAAACAATATTTCTTTTATACTTACGAATATAGTTCTACTGATCTTATTCTCGAAAGTATAATCTAAAGATATCTCTTTGTTGAGTAGGGTGTTATTAGTATACTATATGCATACATTTCAGTGAATTTGACGGTTCATACAGTCTGAACGCAAGTATACCAAGCTAGCTACAGACCTGATTTCAAAAAGTAGTCATCAGCTAATTAAGAAAGGGTTGTCCGAATCTATGAGCATGTCAAAGCATCATGTTACCATCTGTTATATTGGCTTTTATACAGTTCGTCGAAGAATATATATATACATTAGTAGATTAGTAGCTAGGCCTCAACATACACAAGGTGAAAACCAAGATCCTCAAATACAACGTGGTGAACATCAACCCAGTCCCACTTGATGCCAAAACTGTGGGAAATATAGAATCTTTCACTTACTTGGGAAGCATCATCGATAAATGAGGAGGATCGGATGGTAACATAAAGTCAAGGATCGGCAAATCAAGAGCCGCATTCCTACACTTGAAGAACATATAGAACTCAAAACAACTGTCTGTCAACCAATATCGAAGTCACAATCTTCAATACGAACGTCAAGATAGTCCTACTGTACGGAGTTGAAACTTGGAGGACTACTACAACCATCATCAAGAAAGTATAAGCATTTATAAATGGTTGTCTACTCAAGATACTCATTATAAATTGGTCGGAAACCATCAACAACAGCCTACTTTTGGATAGAACAAACCAGCTTCCATGTGATGAGGGAATTAGGAAAAAACAATAGAAATGGATAACATACACATTGAAGAAATCACAAACAAGGCATCACGAGGCAAGCCTTAACTTGAAATCCTGAAGGGAAACATAAAAGAGGAAGGCCATAGAACACATTATGTCGGTAAATAGAATTAGATATAAAAAGGATAAATAACAACTGGAAAGAACTGGAAAGGTTTGACCAGGACAAGGTTGGATGGAGTGTGGTAGTGGGCGATCTATACTTCCCCATGAGGAGTAAAAGGCGTAAGTAAGTAAGTAAGATTAATAACAAATACTTTAACAATTCGGAATTCAAGCAATAGCCAGTTATACGATTTATAAATAAAGATAAAGTTTATTGTAATTTAACTAGGCTACAATGAAACATATTGTAGATTAAAATAGAAATAGAAATAATAAACAATAATTAATTATTCAATAAATAAATAAATAAAAAACTCATTACCTTCTCTACTTAATTTTGGTAATCCAGCTAGAATACGTCCAATTTGATCTAATGTTGATGTACCAGGAAATAATGGTGTACCAATTAACATTTCACCTAATATACAACCTAAACTCCATATATCAACACCTTTTGTATAATCATGACATGCTAATAAAATTTCTGGTGCACGATACCAACGTGTTGCTACATATTCAGTTAATGCAGGTAATAATGTTTTACAATTGATTTTACCATTATTATTATTATCATATTTATTACGACCTTTTAATGAACGTGCTAAACCAAAATCACATAATTTTACTGAACAATCAGAATCTAATAGAACATTTGATGGCTACAAATGGATGTATGAATACAAAACAGGTAAAATATGAATTATTAAAATGATTGAAGAATGTTGAACATGAACAAAGTCTATTTAGAACAATAAACCATTTGAATCAATGTATCTATGCTTGTTTAATGATTTACAGGCATTTTGAATCAAACTCAAATTTATAGGTACAATATAATTGTGTTCTACAATGGTGCTTCTCTCAAGACAATTTGTTTGTCTTGCAAAAAAAAATCTTTCATTGATCTTTAAAAGTAACTAGATTAAAACTGAAATAAGTAGTTATTTTTGTAATGTTCATTGATATGTTAAATCCATACAGCTTATTCTAGCTTCTGAACAGGTCAGTTTATCCATTCGTCTTGATTCACATTTTGATCATGTTAATTATTCACTTATCAATCTTGACTGTTTTTATATGAGTATATGTATGTATACTTCGTATCCTATTCATTACATATCTGTAGCATACTTTTGTTCTGACTATAAATATCGATTAACACTTGATTACATCAAGTTGGCTCACATGCTAACTCCACTGTGAATCATTTTGCTCCGCTCTCTTCAAATCATTTCTTCAATCGTTTATTTGGATCAACGATTGTATGAAATATGCATATTTGAAATTTATTCTCATATTTGACTTATTGAATTTGGTTATTCACTAAGTACATACAACTTACTTATTTACGCCCTTTACTCCTCGTGAAGGAGCATAGGCCGCTCACCAGCATTCTCCATCCAACCCTGCCCTGAGAAATCCTTTCCAGCTCTTTCCAGTTGTTATTAATCCTTTTTATATCCGCTTTTATTTCCCTACGTAATGTGTTTTTTTGCCTTCCTCTTTTCCGCTTTCCTTCAGGATTCCAAGTTAGCGCTTGCCTCGTGATGCAGTTTGATGATTTCCTTAATGTATGTCCTATCCATTTCCATCGTCTTTTCCTAATTTCCTCTTCAGCTGGAAGCTGGTTGGCTCTCTCCCATAAAAGGCTGTTGCTGATGGTATCCGGCCAATGGATGTTGAGTATCTTGCGTACTTGTACCTTCTTGATGACGGTTCATACAAGGATTGACGATAATGTATATTTCAATAACACTCATTTATTCAATCATCAAACGATTTAATTGGAGTCAGGTAAAACACCCCAAAAAGTGGTGAGCTAATTGACAAACTAATCAATAACATAATTGTCCCATTTAATTGGCTTCAAACTGAATGGCTACTAAAGTACTAAATCAGATATTTCCTAGAAATGAGTAACTAGATCGTCTTTTTCCATTTATAATATACACCTATATCATTTGATACATTTGTTGATCGAAAATTAAAAATGCGAAAACTTACAATCTATCGCACACACGCACATACATTCTCTCTCTCTCTAACTCATTTTTTCAACGTCCATCTAAAAGGTTTGATTTATCAGCTTGATAAATTCTAAGCAGTTTAACTCGATGTAACTATTTGAAGATCTCTGGTGAAGAAAATGTTAATCTAGTGTAAACATTCTCTAAAACACTGGATTTGTAGAGCTATTAGAGTTTTATAAACAATGATCAGTCAGTCGTAAGCAGTGTGAAGAACCGGACTCAGTAGAATGTATCACTTAGTCATTACCTGAAGACAATTACGGAACACAACCAAAAAAGATTTTGTAATTTTGAGGCAATTTCTGTCACATATGAACACCAATTGTAGAAACAATACAAACTAGGGAATAATTAAAAATCACAAACCAGATTCAATTCAAGACTTTCAGAAATCATGTGGTTAATCTAATCATTCGATAGATTAAGACTTATTCAACTACGGAAGAATATTAGATTTATGATTTATGAGTCTTTATTCATTCGTGGATGCGTACTGTTGAGGAGTCCCACAGTAGGACGAAACGACCATACAGTGCTGCAGGGTTTTCCATGATAATCCAGCTTCAATTGACTCAACTATCAAAATTACTATAATATCCTCAAAACCCCTTCTGATATAAATGATTTACTAACTAATCTTAATGGCATATTAAGTTTCACTGAAGATAGCTATATTATTTTCACTTGAAGCATACATCTGTTCAAAAATATAAATTATCATAATTTTTACATAAAGTCTTGACAGTAACAAAAATCTCTATCACTATGAAATGATGACCAGATCCCATTTAGACAACCACTAAATACCTGGAAACATTGGATTGCCGTTTCGTCCTAATATAGGACTTCTCAGTGGTGCGCATCCACCATGCCGTCCGCGAATGCTGGCTCAATGGTCTAGAGATTGGGGTTTCATTCATGGGACCGAAGGTCCTTGGTTCAAGTCCAGCATCGGGGATAGTGATGTGTGATGTTTGGTGGTCGTATGTTAGAACGAAATGGCCGTCCAGTGATTCCAGATCTTCACTGTTGGTAAGATCGGTTTACGTTTTCAATGAAACTTAATATTCTCCATAAAACCGTGCTAGAAATCTAGATTAACTTACACTCCTAGTGAAATTAAAAAGTCTTAAATTCGAAATTAAAATATCTATCTATGGTTTACTCGTTCATGCTGATTACCTAAATGTGATATCTTTATCCTTCAAAACAATCCTTATCTATAAAGTTGATATTCGTTAAACATTGATCCCAGTTGACAACCACTTAAAAGTGAGAATTAATGAATAGTCATTTCTCTTCACCTAAGCACACTGATAACCTCATCAGGAGTTAAACTCAAGACTTTCAGTCATCACACCTAATCCGAAAGCCTTGAACAGCTACATTCCTAACTTCAATCAATTTGCATTATTTCACAATAATCATTCGATGCCAATCATTACAAACGAAATTATTCGGTAAAAAATATCAATGACAAATTAAAACGAACTCTAATAAAACTTAATCATTTCGCAGTATGGGGTTGTGAAGATTATTAAGTTTTTTGGATTGAAATCATGAACCGATTGATATTAGACCATCAATAAAAATCTAGAAGCACTGGACGGCCGTTTTGTTTGGTTGTGGGACTCCTCCTTGGCAGTGGGCATCCACGATCCCGCTTGCGGGATTCGAACCCATGGCTTTCAGTCTCGCGCTCGATCACTTAAATTCTTGAACACTGAGCTGGCATCTAACGGTGTTAATGTCTATCCTCAACCAATCCACGAAATTACGTGATCATCTATTTTACTGAGGTAGATGCCTATCTCTAACCGACACGGATTAGCTCCACTTGGTCACCGTCTCTCACAAAAACTCTGAGAATTCTCCCAAGAAGCTTTGTAATATGTATAGAAAATAATATAAATTTATTTTTAACTTTTTTGACTAAACTCACCTTTAAATCTCGATGAATCACTTCACCAGAATGTAAATATGCAGTTGCTTTGAATAACTGATACATAATATACTGTTTATGTATATCTTTCAAAATGTTTCCTTTACGAATTACATTATGTAAATCTGTCTCTATTAAATTTAATGATGAAAAAAAGAAAAAATTTATATCAGAAGGGGATTTTTATGGATATTATAGTAAATATAATAGTTGAGATCATGAGTTAATTGAAGCTAGATCACTATAGAAATCCTGGAAGCACTGGATGGCCGTTTCATCATATTGTGAGACTCCACAGCAGTGCGTATCCACGATCCCGCCTCGCGAGTTTCGAAACTAGTACCTATCGATGGATGTGTTGCTCAATTTTGTAGATTAGTTGAATTTAGACAATAAAAATGTTAGATACCAGTCGGCTCAGTGGTCTAGTGGTTAAGCGTACGCCCTCGAGACCGATAATCTCTAGGTTCGAATCTCGCGAGGTGGGATCGTGGATGCGAACTGCTGAGGAGTCCCACAATAGGATGAAACCGTCGTCTAATGCTTCCAGCTTTTCTATAATGATCTAGCTTCAATCGACTCATGATCACAACTATGAAAATTTATATATATACACTCAATAAATTCATTTTTTTTACCCATGTATTCAAATACTAAGTAGATATCCTTGTCACATTCAGCTCGTATTACATTGTATAAACCGATAATATTTGGATGATTACCAAACGCTTGTAAAAATGCAATTTCACGAAATGTTCTCTATGAAAGTGAAGAAAAATGAGGAGAAAATATGTAGAAGAAGAAAATGAATCAAATAAAAAGAAGACAAAACAATAAAATAAATTCATTATTTGTTTAAATCTTACCATTAATGTGTAGAGATTAATTTTTCCTATATGTGACTCCAATAAATAGTATCCGTTTAACTGAGTCTTTAACACAGGCTAAATCTCCTAGTTGAATGATGGATTTACTCGAGATTATTCAAAAGTCTGAATACTAATTATAGAGACAATGTATTGTTAAAAATTAATAAAAAATCCTCAAGCATGCTGATAGTAAACACATAGGAAAACAAGTGAAAAAGTGTGTGTGTGTGTGTGTGTGTGTGTGTTAAAAATCCACATAAATTATTAGGTGTTAATCGATTGTGGATAATTTATTGATTGTTTGTGTATTACAACCAAAGGGAGAATAGACTAGAGATAGATGTGAGGATACGTGTTTAGCTTAATCAGACTCACACATGAATTTACATAGTGGATTGGGTGTCTAAATTACAGTGAGTAGACAAATAATAAAATAGTTCATTATCAGAAGGGGTTTTGTGGAGATTGTAGTAATTTCAATGATTAAGATCATGAGTCAGTTGAAGCTAGATCACCATGGAAAACCTGGAAGCACTGGACGGCCGTTTCGTCCTATTGTGGGACTCCTCAGCAGTGCGCATCCACGACCTCTCCCCCTGCGAGATCCGAACCCAGGACCTACTGGTTTCGCGCGCGAGCACTTAACGACTAGACCACTGAGCCGGCATCCAATGGTGTTAATGTCTAACTTCAACTAATCCACGAAATTGAGCGACACATCCACCATTGTCTTTAGTGAGTTACTATTTCACAACAGACCTGGTCGAACTCTACTGGTCACTACTTCTCACTAGAACTCCAGGATATACCTCTTGAAACCTGTAGGTCCTGGGTTCGAATCTCTCAGGCGACGAGGTCGTGGATGCGCACTGCTGAGGAGTCCCATTATAGGACGAAACGGCCGTCCAGTGCTTCCAGGTTTTCCATGGTGATCTTAATCATTGAAATAAAATAGTTCATTGGAATTACTATAAATGTTTACGACTGAAAGTGATCAGTCTCACTATTGACATATATACATCCTGTTCGGATTGCCTTGATCATAAACATTATAGGAAAAGATGGATAGTGGCTAACAGTGGAACCTAGGATGCACGTTTCGTCCTAACTGAAACTCATCATCTGGATGTTCTTGCATTTTAGAATCCGAGTCCCGGAGTGAACCTCAATTTTGAGACAAAGGTACATTCAGGTGAAGAGTTCCAAATTCGGCAAAATATGCATCTTGAATTTCACAGCTAGACATTATCCATTTTTGCTTTAAACGAAATATTGTTTTAAAAATATATAAATAATAGTAGTAGTTAACAAACTTGAGCATCTGTTTGATTACGAAATGCATCGAAATTTTTTTTCAGGGCGACAACTTCTTTTGTCTTTCGATTGATCGCTTTCCATACGATTCCATATGCCTAAAATATATGGATGAAAAGTGAAAAAAATATAGAAATAATTATGTGATGATATAGAGAACTATTGACAACAAGATAATTCAGTAGCTCAGTGGATAATCCATTCGGTGTTTTAAACGTAAAAAATCAATTTCTAGTCCCTTTGTTAATATTAACAGTATAATGCAGATACATCTATTTAATGAAATCCAAGCAGATGGAAACGAGCATCTTCGAAATCCACTATGAACTACAATCCTTCTTTATTTAAATGTAAAATATCTGTTTGGTGTTAGTTTGAAGAGTTGCTTTATCAATACACATGCTGGATTTTACATGAAATTGTACATAAATTCACTTGGTGTTGTTTTAATTGTATTTTCGCATTGTTATTTAGAACTGAAATTGATCAGTCTAATGTTGACATATGTGCATTCAGTATGGGTTGCCTCGATTTAGCATTAAGTCACATGCTTTTTAAGCAAAGATGGAATATAGATGGGAGGCAGGTACATCCAGCTGACGAGTCCCAAATAGGACAAAACGCATGTCATGGATTCCACTGCTAGCCACTATCCACAGATAATATTTAACTAGCGAATAATCTATTTTCATCAGAAATGATGAGTATGTTATCGACACAGCAACCAAGTCTAAGATTTCAATGATTTATGGACAAGATTATACTATTGGATAATTTAATATTATGTAATATTATGCAAGTATCGAAAAAAGGCAAGACGATCAATTTAGCTTTTGTTGTCATGATGACTATGTTACTTGAGTGAAATGATGTTAACTTAATATCCAAATCAATGTTAGCCAGTGTTATAGTCAGTGTTGTCACTACTTATCTATTTAAGTCATGAATCATTTTTCAAATGACTAAGATATCCACTGTGAGTTTATCTTGTTTTGAATGTTTCACTCATAAACAGCGCAGAATCTGGCCCATACACTACACTAAATAAGCACAGACGAATAAAACTGTTGAAATAGATCCCAGAGTAGTAGAAATGGTAACAGTCTTAATGTTAGTAAAAACCATCAGATTAAAAGCAAGATTCGTGAAAGAACAACGAATTAGTGAAACAAAATGTATAAGATAATTTTGTAACTTAACATCTTAGATAAGACAAAGAGCAAATAGATCTGAAAGAAAGCAATCGATTCAATGCCACGTCTCTTAAGTCCTTAAACAAACGATTGCGTTAATCTTGTCAAGATGTTTATATATGAAAATTAATGTAGATCAATGAACTGTTTTTGTATACACAAAGAAAGCTTGAAATTTCTAAGTCATGGATTCAGAAAATTCAAGATTATACCTTTGATAATATCCATACAGCACTTTAAAAGCTGTTATTATTTGCTTAGCTAACGAGGAATAAGGTTCAATAGCCCTAGTTTTTGATGGAGTTTTGTTCTCTGAGCTGGATGATTTGATCGTGGAGCTTTCATCATTCTTCTGGAGAAATTCGAACACTTCACTTCTATCTGAAGTTTGTGCTGATGATGTCGTTCAGAAGAACGATGAAAGCTCCACGATCAAACCATCCAGCTCAGAGAACAAAACTCCATCAAAATCATCCACTTGAGCTATAAATTTTCTCCACCATCTCGATAGCCCTAGTGTTTGACAATAACTGGTTCTGAGCTCATATATTCGTGTATTCCACAACCATGTTTTTTTAGATAGTATAGTTATTTCTATCAATATGTGTCCACACAAACAATGTGAACTGGCAGTGATGCGATATAAAGGTCTGTGTAAAAGGAGATGGCATTTCCCCAATGACTATTTTCAGTCTAAATTTTAAAATTATCCTGATTAACTTGTATCTCTTTGCCGATGCATTGAGAACACTTTTCTTAGAAGCACAACAATTCTGCTTTCTCATATTACACTACAAAATTATAAAAAAAAGACTTATTCCTTTTAAATTCTTTCTGGAAACAATACAACTAATTTGATGTTACGTAATTACTGATTTGTACCTCTTTTGTATACATAGATTAGACTCCATTTCATGAATGGCAAGAGCTTCTGTTGTTTCAAAGAGTAAAATATGAAGGAATCTTGACAGATTGGGAGATTTCTAAAAGTAGCCTTAAAATTGACCAATAAATCTGTTGAGTGATTAGAGTTAATCATATGTTTAATTACAGAACCACTAACCTTTGTAGAACCATATTGGAATATGTCCTCGTATGCTATTTAAATACTGTGGGAGAGAACAAATCAGATCCCAGTGAAGGAAGAAATCAAGAAAAAGAGATGGAAGTGGATAAGACACACATTGAGGAAAGCACCGAACTGCGTCACAAGACAAGCCCTCACATGGAATTCTCAGGGCCAAAGGAAAAGAGGAAGATCAAAGAACACATTACGCCGGGAAATGGAGATAGACATGGAAAAACTGAACAAGAATTGGATGGAACTAGAAAAGGAGGCCCAGGACAGTGGGTTGGAGAGTGCTGGTCGGCGGCTTATGCTCCTTTAGGAGTAACAGGCGTAAGTAAGTAAGTAATGCTATTTAAAAGCGAGGTTTGGTGGCCTGTGATCTGGCTTCAGTTATATCGTGTGATTGATTGCTGTAATGGTATATATTCTGGTTATCCTCATATAAAATTATCGACTTAAATCGCGTTATTGAATAACGGAATTGAATAAGTCAAGTACGAGATTGACATTTGAATATATATATTTTATGCACTCATTGGTTTGAACAGGGAATCAAGAAATAAAGTTAAGAGAAGAGAGCGAAGCAAAATGATTCACAGTGGAGATGGCATGTAAGCCAACTTGATATTATCAAGTGTTAATCGATATTTATAGTCAGAACAAAATTATGCTACAGACATGTGATGAATAAGATAAGAAGTGAACACACAAACGCTTACATAAAAACAGTCAAGGTTGATAAGTGAATAATTAACATGATCAAAATGTGAATCAAGACGAATGGATAAACTGACCTGTTCAGAAGCTAGAATAAGGTATATATGCTTAACAAAGTAACTAACTAAAACAGACAAGCTACGGCTCATTCACATTTATCAGTTCACTTGTTCATGTTAACCAAAGTGTTACTCAAGTGAATAAATTTGGTGCCGTTTTGTTCTCTGAATTGGATAGTTTGGTTATGGAGCTTTCATTGTTCTTTTGAATAGCAACAACTTCAAGTAGCTGAAGTTTGTGCTAATCATGTAAATTGATGAGAAGATTGATAAAATCTCCACAATCAAACCATCCAGCTCAGAGCATAAAAGTTATATTATAAGGATTATAAATTAGTCCAATGAAAAGTATTTCCTTTGATCATTTCAAAATGGAATCTCCATCTATTCAATGATCAATTGTGATTTCAAGATTTCATCATTGATTTCCTAGATGTAATAAAATTAATAATAAAAATACGTAACAAATGACAACAACAAAAAAAAAAAAAAAACATCAAATCAATCAAGAACTAATTCTTCAGAAAATTTCATTTCAAAGTTCAGTCGACAAGGACAGCTTAAAAACAATATAAATCTGGTGGTTAAGCGCTCACACGCGAGACACATGCGCTCCAGGATCCTGAGGGAACAAATGGCGTATGAACCAATCGTTGGTCACCGGCTACCATGGGACTGCATCTCCTTACGATGCTCCACTGCCTTGTGGATCAGATCTTCAGGTCAAAGGCTCCGGGTGTGGCCCCCTAAGAAAATCACCTGCTTCGGTTTGGGCACCCGGGCAGTATTACAGCCCTCACACATATCCAATGAGATCTGTGTGGCGCATATGTATTTGGTACCTTCTTGTACCGATATCTATGTTTTAAAATAAATAAATAATAAATAAATAAATCACACGCGAGACTGATAGGTCTTAGGTTCAAAACTTGTGAGGAGGGATCGTGGATGTGCACTGCTGAAAAGTCCCACAATTGAATGAAATGGTCAGCCAGTGCTTCCAGGCTTTCTATGGTAATCTAGTTTCAATTGACTCATGATCTCAATCATTGAAATAAATCTAAGAGCTGCCTATTATGACATTCATCGATGTTGAAGTATCAATGATTACATTTAAAGGAAACCTCATTCTATTTATACCATTAGATCCAAACAAATGTTACATTCTTAATAACAGTTATATTTATAGAATTAAGGGATATATATAGAAATTTAATTGATATATGAAAGTTAATTGTTTGAAACGAAAGAGATAACCCTATGAATCTATTTAGTTAGCGTTCAGTGTATAATATCTTAAACCCTTTATTGATAATCAATATATAATCAGAATCATGAATCAATATATTGATCTAGTGACATAAACTAAATAGATTGTAGTTATACATTACATTTTCTGTTCTTCATTTCTACAAAAACTGGATCTAGTTGACATACAGTTGTGAAGTATAGTTAATCACTTCCTTCCTAATGTCCTTAAGTTGCGTTAATGAATCTAAGGATAGTTACGGTATAGTTTAACACTAGTAATTAATCTTATCATTTCATTCTATGTTTAAATGTTTTATCTGTTTGGTATAGACAATTGTTCATGAAACGATAATTACCTAGGATAGTTTCAGTTATTCAATCATAAGAAACATAGTACCTGTCATATCTATGCCTTGTTTCAAGTTGCCACACTAAATCATTAAAGTGAGTTGCAAGGCAAGTATCAAATGAGAAGACAGTATGATTCGAATAAAAAAAAGAATATGATAAGTCTTCTAATTGAATGCTAGATTCATTTCTTAAGCTCTTTTTAGTAACCTTCAGGCTGAATCTACACAGTGAATTGAACACGAGAGAAAAGGTGCGAAATATGAAAGAAACGCTTTACTCTAAGATTTGTTTATGTACAGAAAATCTAGGATATTTATCGTATTTAAGATAGGCTTGAGCTTCCGGAAATTTCTGAAACGCCGCTAAACATAGTAGCAGTGTAAGTAATCATCCAATCAGAAACACGACATGTTACTTTTCATTTTCTAGATGTTTCTGACAAGACTTCGATTGAACGC